TCAAAGTCCAACACTATATTAATAAAATCCAAAGAGTTTACGGTTACAACAAAATACCGGGAAAAAATCACCTAACCTTAAATCGTCTAAAATCATAACAAACCGCTAGGTTCGAATCGCCGCAATCGATAGAATTGACAAGAAGTGCCGTATACCTAGACGCTTGTGGCGCCTACCCTTCAAATTTTGCTAAGTTCTTCATTCGGGCAGCGTTGCCGCCACCACTGATGCGTGAGCAGCAGATTGAAAAGTAGCGAATGAACGATCGTTTTTGCGTCCTTTTTGCGCCAAGTTTTGAAAACTGTATCGAATTGTTCGATTTATTAGATATAATGAAACGGTAAAAGCGGGCGATTTTCTTCAGTTGACAAGTGCATTTTTTGGAAACTTCTTTCATGTGTCAAAGTTTGCTTCCTCGGCGCAGTTGCTAGAGTTACCGTGTTTAAACAACCGGTTCCACGAACTGTCATTGTTCAACGTCAAATAATGAAGACAATGTTGAGACTGACTAAAATGCAACTCTGGTACCCCCCCAAACAGGTGGTGGATGCTCGAGCCGGCCCTGGAATGAAATCGTTCACCAAATTCAAGACCAAGAAGAAAAAGCTGGCCGACAAGATGAAGAAGATGCAATTTGAAAGGTGAGCTACCGGTGATGTGCTACAATTGAGCAGGTTGTCATTAAAATTGCAATGTTTAGGGAATACAGTCCGGCGCTTTCGGACAAGAGCGACACCGCTGAAGCCACTGAAGAGATGGATATCGCTGAGATGGATTGCCTGTCGGAAGACGGGCCTAGAAGGTAAGTCGCGACAGTGCCCGGATAATTATATACAAAGCGTGGCGCTACCAAGACTATCGTTGTTGCGTTTGAGGCTTTGCCCACCTATAGACACTTCTCACCCCCCTGTGAAATTCGCCAATTTCCGAAGCCACGCTTTGTAGAAAATTGCGCTTTCATGGGCCAGAGGATTGTGATTTTATTGGATGTTTTACAGCTTTAACTCGTCGAGAAACAACAGTCCGGGCATCAGCGACAATGAGGAGACGATAGTGCGGGGAGCCGTGGGGCGAAGGTGTAAAGCCAAGCCGAGAAGACGCGCACCGCTTGAGGAGAATGTTGAAGATTACATTGACCCGGAATACTGGACAAAGTATGAATGATTTTCACGGAAATTTTCTGGGGTCGTTTACTATGTAGTTGTTATTGTAGGGAGACGATTTGCTGTGGATCATTCTACCGCGGCCGAGGCAACGAGATGTTAATGGTGGAAGGCGAGCTGAAGCCCTGCCCAAGTCGGGTGGCCTTGTGCAAAGCCAAAGCGCTGGCTCAGAAGACAGCGACTGTTCGCGAGCCGAGCGTCAAGAGCGCGTTCAGCGACAGCAGTTCTGATTCCGGTTACGATGACTCGTCGAATCAGGGCCTTACGATGTCGCCAATTGAGCACAGCAATCGGCTTAGCGAGTCGGCGAGTCTCGCAACGATCGAAGAGGAAACGGTCAAGCCGCAAGGGTTGGATTTGATGTGTCACGAGACGATTTTCACTGATGTTAGCGAAGTGGTGCATTCGGACGTTGAGATGGCGGAGAGCAGTGATTTAGGGACTATTCCGCAGTAATACGCGTCCTCTAGTTTATTTTAGTTTAGTGTCACTTAATAGGTTTTATTTGTTGCTGCCTGACGATTATGAGGTTTGTGCTGTTCTTGTGCGTCGGCTGGTGAAATAGTTGGGGAGGGAAGGAGTCAAGGGCACGAATTTCTTGAAAACCACTTACTAGAGGGCTCTAGCGAGCGCCTTTCAAGCAAGGATAGTATAAATGTGTTCTAACCAACAGTACAAAATAATTAATAAGATAATTGCTGGATGTCACACTGTCGCCGCTCTGAGCTAGCAAGTTCAAGTGGCGGCACGGTGAACAGCTCAGCAATTGTTCGACTGATTGCTGTCTGTTTTCTGACGGTGAAACTATAATAATGAAATTCGTATTAGACAAGTTGGGTCCAAGTGTTCCATGACGTGGCACGAGTTGTTCACCATTAGCAATACGACGTTTCCCCATAGTCATTCATATCCGCCATCAGGTGTCTTGTCCGTGATCTATCTACTGCCAGCGTTCTCACGTGTTTCGTCCCTCATATTATGGAATTGTTTATCAATTAAAATTGTGTTGAAAGTTAGACTGTTGATTGAGGATGTGCAATACGAGTCGAAATTGCCGAGCCAGACCTGATTTTGTTCATCATTCCCTGATCATTTCTCAAATTGCGCCAGCAGGGCGGTTTTGATTTGGTTCTGAGCGTCTTCCTGGCATTCGCCAAATGCGCCTGAGCAAGACGTTGTTGGAAGGAACAAAGGCTTGCTTCGGCTTCTTCCAGGTAGGCGCCAGGAAGTTGGACTAATCAAAGCCTCCCTGTGCCCAAAACTGAATAGTTGAAGACTGCAAGACTTGACTAGTCCTAGCGTGTACCACCATGTAGGATAAATGAATTAATCCGTGGAGAATCTCCTACCGTTCAAAATCCTAACTATGCTTAAGTCAGTAAATGCAATATGCTGTTTGATCTCAGTGGCCCCACTTTGTCGGCGGGGCCCGAATTACATAAAATCGATGATTAAAGGAAAGCGTACACTGCGACTTCACAAGCTAGTTCGTAATGAAGTATTACTATTATGGAATTTTTATGTAAATCATTATTTTTTAATGCGAGATATTATGTATTTATGTAATTTCTATTAGTTTTAAGGATAGCCCTATAATATATATACATATTAAATTATTTTGGTTGAACTGTTAGGAGTGTAGGCAAGCGCGCGCGCTGGGGTTGTTCCGAAAAGCCAAGTCGGGTATTTTTGTAAATCGTTCGATATATGTATTAGGACGTAGATGGCGAAATTCGAAAATTTTATCTTGAAACTGTAGAGTTTGCTCGGGTTTTGCTTTCAATTTTGGGTCTTTTCTAAATTACTGTATAACGTATGAGTTTATCTGCACGGGAACATTTATGTGAGGATGGTTTGGGAGAGAAACGAACCGATTTTATGTAACAGTTAACCCGAAATCAGCCAGACATTTTCATTGATTCAGGCCGTTTTCGGTGAAATTTAAACGCGTGAACTCAATCAATTGCTCTTTTTGTTTCAATCCCCAAACCGGGCTCGGATGAACTTTTCCCTGTGGGTTTTTTTTTTCACTGTATCATTGTCGATCGGAATGTCTGGCCGGGTTAATGGTTTGGGAGAGAGAAACCTACAGATTTTATGTAACGTTTGACCCGAAATCGGCCAGATATTTCGATTGATGTGAACTTTTGCTGAAACAAAGTATGTTGTTGGAAATTTCGGCGCGAAATCCGAACCAATTGGAGCAAACCAACACTGGGAACGAGCTCTTGCATGCAAAAGTGCTGTTTTATTCGCTTAAATCTTAAAGTAAACTGGACAGTTTCAAGCAATGGCCGCGAAAGCCTCTGTTGAATCTTACCTTGTTGGGCATTTGCTTTTTGTTTGCTACAATTCCCATTAAGTCCAATTTTACAGTAAACAGCAACAACAAGAAACCATTGCTTCATGTCTATTTAGTGTTTTAGTAGTTTTTTGCGATTGGTCGATTGCATTATTAGGCCAACTGATTTTTAAAATTGACTCAATTGTTTCCTTAATGGTTATAGATCAAATAATAAACGAGTTTTTACCAGAGCAGCTGGCCTGGACAGAATGCAGAACCTTTCCCGTTCCCCCTTGCGGCAGGCGCTCAAGAAAATGCCGTCCTACTGGTTAAGTAATACTTTATTCCTATAAAACTATTAATACTTTACAGAGTGTGTTCCTGGATGAGGAGCTTCAGATCTTCAGTCAAGGGTGAGTCGGTAAGTATTGAAAACGTCTTACTTAATTAGTTAATAGCGTCGTTTCCCTGCTCAGTTTCAAAGAGTAGGTCTTGTGCAGATTCGCTGACGCTTAGCGGACGTCTGAGGAATATCACAGCGATGCCTCCGAATAAAACCGATCCTCCGCACACGTAGGTGAGAATGTCCCGGTAGAACCAGGAGTTTTCAGCCCCCTGATGCTGGCCCTGGATGATTTCCACCACCATCCCATTGGAGAGCTTGTCGACGAAGCTCATGATCCCGTAGACGAACGCTCCCGAGTTGGTCCTGGTGCCGATCAAGTCCGTGGTGATTCCCAGGCTGGAGACCAGCACTATGGAGCTGGCGGCGCCCAGAAAACACGCCACTAGATAGATGAGGTAGTTCGTGTAGAAGGGCCCGCTGCCCAGTTGAATGAACAAGCAGGCGCCCACTCCGATCATCGTGCCGAAGATGTAGGTAAGCTTTCGCCCGAATGTTTTGTTGATGGTTTCGATGGCGAAGGAGGTGAGCAGGCTGGCAATGTACATGATCAGCGGGATGATGGCTAGTGAACTGGCCACCATGTTCAGGGCTTCGTGCAGATAGAGAGTGATGAAGACTTGGGTGAGGTTGATGAACAGTCTGGAGCACATGTAGTTGAAGGCCACTTGATAGACTTGCAGATCGCCGAAGAGTTGCAGGAAGTCTGTGCGAAGTCTGGTGCCGCGCACGTCCTGGAACTCCGCGTTGCCGATGTGGTTCTCCTTGACGAACACGTGGAACAGAATGGAGCAGACGGTGCCGAAGGACATGACGCTCAGAACGACGTACTGGAATTTCTGAGCGTCGGTGTGGTCGATTTTGTTGCTGTCGTGGCCCCCGATGTGGAGAACCAACCAGGTCACCACGTAGACCAGCACGTTGGCAACCACAGTGAAAGCGTAGCGGACGGCGGTCAGTCTGGTCCTGTCGTGCTCGTTGGGGCTGATTTCGGGAATAAGCGACAGATGGGAGATTTGGACAGCCGCCCACCCGAACTGGAAAATAATGATGAACATCGAGTAGTAAAGCAGGCGGCTCCCCTTGGAGGCGTTGCCGCATTGGACGCACGGCGAGAAAATGAACGGAAAGGTGAGAACCACGCAAATTGTCCCGATTAAGTGCCAGGTTTTCCGCTTGCCATACCTGCGATTCAATTGCTTATTACTCGGAGCAGCGTTTTAATTAAATGGGTACCAACTTGCAGATCCAGAAGTTGTCGCCCTGATCGCTAAAATAGCCAACAAAGGGGGTGGCGAGTGCGTCAGCAATCTGGCCGACTAGGAGAAGAGCGCCGGCTTCCGCATTGGAGAAGTCGAGCACCAGATGCATGAAGACCAGCAGATAGGTGAACCACATGGAGGCGCACACGTCGTTGAGGATGTGCCCCATGCCGTAGGCAAGCGAGGTGAGTGCCGGCAGGCTTTGGTAAACCTCCGTATAGTCGTAAGTTGCGTCCATGATGAAAAGTCGCTGAAAGGCTGGCTTTGCGGCTTCTTCTGCACTAGCATGGTGTATCTGCTCGGCTAAAAATTCAAACCAAAACTCACGTTACTTCTGTGGCAGGTTGCTGAGGAACTTACTGCTGGCTTGTACTGCTGCAGGCGACATCGGGCGATTTGTGCCGCTTTCGCGCACAAATCACCGAATCGCGCCTTATCAAGAAAACGCAAATATTAGGATTGTTCATGCAATTGTTCCTAATCAGAGGCCTTGTCTGAGTTTTAATTCAAAATGTGATATTTCTGCGACTTCGATCGGGGCAATTAATCACGCTTTGTGCATTCCACGAATCCCAAGATTGTTTATTGTGTGCAGTGCACCTGCAGATAGACACACCAGGAATCTGGTGCTTTTTGTTGTGCAAATAATTGTGTTTCTCTCTAAATAGCTTCTGGCGTTGGAGCGGTGGCTGGTCTGTTCTTGACGTTCATCCGCCCTGATTTAGCCCTAAGGGCTAAATCAGCCAGAGGCTATGCATTTGTAAAAAAATGGGGCAACAATCACAACTCGTCTAACCTCCGATAAAGGCCTTGAGTGCGCGGAACCAGTTAAATGTCGCTGTGTGCTTAGGGATGGTTCTACAAGCTGGGACTTACCTTAAAAAACCTCTGGCATTGTCATGGTTGTTAATCACATTAAACTGAATCAAAAGTTAAAATGAAAACTCATTATTTCCGATCAACTGGATGACACACTTTGTTTTGACACTTTGACGCGACCGGCGCTGTTGCCGCGGGTCGGAAATTTTCCTGGGTTTTGTGCTTCTTCGGGACTCAAATGAAATGGGACGGTTACACTTAAACATGGGGGAAACAGGGTGGAAAAAAATTAATTGTTTTTAAATGCTGATAAATTTGCAAAAACGTGTATTAGAAAGACGGCAGCAATGTTTTTCAAGCCTGCCTAATTATTGTTACGTAAATACCTGTGGCTTGGTAATTATTGAAAACTCCGGTAACCATGGATAAATAAATAAACTAGACAAAGATAAACGGTAAATTCAACAGGAATCGTTTGAATGAATGCTTTTTCGAAATGTCAATTATTGTTATCATCACCTGTCTTTATGGTCATCATAACCTGGAATTATTAATTTGTTTACAAACTGCAATGGTGGATACTTCTTAAGAGAAATTACAAAATTTATCGCAGAAAAACACCAGGAAGAATTCACTATGGAAAATATCTATTTCGTTGATATAAATACTAGAAAAACATGCCAAAAGAGAACCGCATAGGAATGGACAAAAAACCAATTGTAACAAACACTAAAAGATATTTACAATTTTCTAAGCACCGAAGTACTTGTGTCTTTGATTCAGAGCCGTTCCACTGGAAATTTCTGGGTTTGCCGATCAGTGGCGATTAGACGATTACAGTGTAAACGGGCCTGAGACAAATTGCACTTTTTCTAAAGCTTTGTTTCTACGTGGATGTATTCTGGAGCGATCATTATTTTTAAGAACACCGTAATAAAATTATCACGCCTCGCACCAGAATTTTATAACTACACAATTAAATTTCACTGATGCTTATTTACAAGAACTTACATATAAAAGTAATACAAATACACAGTCGAGTTTAATCGAACCAACTCTCAGACGGACATTTTCTTGCACTGTATAAGCGTGATAAGCTTCCGGCACAGCTTTCGTTTCTTCGGTTTCCTGCGGTAGTTCCGCACGCAAATGTAACAAAACACAAGAGCCGCAAAGACGAAAATCGTCACCGAAAGGTCGTAATGGCTGGAGGGCTCGGCGGAGTCCACTGGCCGATTTCTCCAACTCCACTCAATGAATTCCTCCCCATTCTCCGCTCCCGAGGCATCTGCAACGAGGAGCTTAATCTAGAATACATTGGCAGAATAGTTCCCATGACTCCGACTACCGTGCGTGCTATCATTCTATGCTATTCTACGCTATGTGACCAGTTTAGTCGTACCTTTAATGGTGTTTTCCGCGTTGTCGTTGCGATTTTCAGGCGGCACATTGACCTCTTCTTCGATGAGAGCGAGCAGTTTCTGCGACTGGTAGAGATTGCCGGGCGCCGACTGATTGAGGGGCACGGGGTTCGCCCAGACCAAGTGAGGACATTGAGGCAGCGCCCGCACAATGCCGGCATCTAGATGATTCTCCAGCACTTTGGAGAACCGGTACAGTCGGTTGGTGTCCAGCCGAGCCGGCGAATCCACTTCAGCCCCTACCTGCCACTCGTGCATCTGATTGTCCTGCAAGGTAAGTCATTAAAATCATCAATCGTGCCGCGATTCTAAACTCCATTTGCTCGGTTAAGTTTATCACTTGGATTGAAAACTATTCCCTTTATGGGTTGGGTTTCTTGTTCAAATGCGTGTCTTGCTCTAGAGTTTTATAGTGAAAACTTGCCTTGAACAGTGCGGGTAGATGTGATGTGGAAGTGTACTCCAGCATGGCTTCCAACAGCCAATTGCAGCTGATTTCTAAGTGACTAGTGTCGATGCAGTTTGAATCGCCGTAAACAATCACGCGCCCGCCTCGGCTGGCTGAAGTGGTTTGTAGCAGGCCCAGGATGGGCACTTTGTACTTGTTGGGGTCGGTTTCCCCTAAATACTATAGAAACGTTGCAGAAAATGCGCGGTTGCAGTTGGTCTGGTTTCAATTTACCTCGGCCCCTTGATCGTCTAGTTCGGCCCCCAGCACGATCCCCCCGTCGGGAAACTCGCGAATGCTGTTCCCTGAAGCGTAGAACATTTCGTGATCGTTCCACTTGAAGTGTCCCGCAAAAGTGCGATCGCCCAGCTGAATGCCCCACGATGAGAGCAGCTCGTTTAGGGCCGGCAAGTTGGAACCACCTAAACACCCGCCCAGTTAAAACTAGTAGACAATCGTCTATTTCGAAGTAAACCGTTAAATTGTCGATAAAAAACACCAACCCGTATCGGGCATCCACCATTGCCGAGTGTTCTCGTCGTAGAACTTCACTTTCTCCATCACCGTCACATTGTACCAATCGGCGAAAACAATGACTGAAAGCCCCGCTTCCACGTCGCGCTTCAACTTGGCGATTTCTTCAGGGAAATACTCCTCCTCCGGATCGACGATCAGCAATGTGCCGTACTGGGAGGCGTCGAAACAGTTAAAGGACGACCCCAGAACCTCCACGTAGTAGCCGGCGTTCCGCAGGTTCTGGTACGTGTCCTTGAAGTTGGTGTGAATGTGGTCCCCATTCCAGTCCAGTGGATCGTTCTTCACCTTCAGATTGTCCCTCGGGAAATAGCCGGGCGGGTACCGCAAGTTGTGGTACTGATCCCACAGGATTCGTTTGTGTCTCGGGGGCGTAGGGATTATTTTCGCCCTACAACAGCTTGGGATTAGTAAAACCGTTAAAAGAGAGAAGGGATGAGGGCAGTGTTGGGCAAAAATTGATTTTTATTAAAAAAATCAAAAATTACTGATTTATTTAAATTAATCAAAAAATCATTATTTTGTTGATTTTTATTAAATCAATTGATAAATCCGTTTAATTAGCTGTTTTAAAGTCATTGCAATTGTTGCCGAGAAGATTCAAGCTAAGTTGTTGAATCGATTCAATACTTGTCCGAACGCTTTTTCGACGGAAAATTCTTGTCGCAACGGCCCACCACTCGTTTTCGCACGTTCATTTCAATAGAGGCTAATGTTGAAAAGTGTGTAATTTTTTTGTGTTTGTGTAATAATAATAAGTCAGTTTGAAAAGAACGCATTGGCTGGAAGAAAATAAGACAGTATTTGGCAGTTTTACATCAAAACCAGCTCTTCTGATAAGTCAGGATGCAGAGCAACTTGCAAACAGTGTAAGAAAGATTCAAGGCATCGTACAAAGACTGAAGGCACACCATGACGTTTGTAAGAGGCAACAAAACAAACAAGGCACAACAACAAATGCAAACATCGATCTTCCGCCCAACTTTTTTGAGACTGGGAGTGCTTCTTCCACCTTTACATTTCCCTCGACAAGCTCCAACTCACCTCCAGAATCTCCATCATCCTACACGCAAACAACTACCGAGTCGGCTTCCAAGAAAAAGAAACGTGAAAGCCAATACTCAATGTCCAATTTCGTTAGGCGAACTTCAGCAGGGGAAAAACATCTTATTGGCAAACAAATAGCTAAGGCCATATTTGCCACAAACTCAAGTTTTAGATGTATCGAGAACTCGGAAGTCAAGAAAGCCATTCATCTATTGAGACCTGGACACAGACCTCCTTCTCGAAAACACGGTCGCATCGAGCCTTTTGGATGAGATTTATACTGAAGAAAAGAAGGCATATTTTTCATCTCTTTCGGGGAAAAGTGTTAACATGTCGCTTGACGGATGGTCAAAGATTCACAACGAGCCGGTTATAT